AGTACATGTGGAATATTTCTACAAGGGTGCTAAGAAACTGCTGCATGGGGATTAGAGGAAAAAAGTGGAAGGGAGGCTTGTTTTTCATTATTTATATTGTTTGGAAAAGTGCAATGAATAAATAAATCTATGTGGAAATAAATTCTTTCATCAGGGTCCTTTTAGTCCCAAAACTTTTGCCTAGATGGCAAAGACATTTTCCTTTACCAAACTGCCCTTTAAATTCCAGAGCCTCACATTTATTCTGGCTCTTCTGTAAGAATCTGAAATAACATGAAACCTCCTAGTAGCATAAGGGGTTAAAAGACATAATTAGGATATTCAGTGACTTAAATATTAGTGAGGTTTCCTTTCTGACAATATGGCAGAATAAATGCCCAGATTTCTAGAACTCTTTCCTGGTACAAAACACCTACAATTGCTGAAGTAAATATCAAAATGAATAATGGATGGCTTGGCTGGTAAGAAAGTAAATGTCCAGAGGACGGAAATAATGAAAAAATCCTAATCTAGATGAAAAAGTGATTGCTACAGTCACATTCACTTCAGGTATATCTAGATTTATTTATTTAGAATTTTAAAATTTCAGATTAATATGAGGGCACAGATGGTTAGTTACATTGTTTGCATTTGTTAGGCAGAGTCCAAGTTGTACTTGTGCCCCTCACCAGGAGGTGTGCCATATACACTTACATTGTGCCTGTTAGGTGAGAGCACACCAATCCCTCTCCCTTCTTCTTTTTCCCCTTCCTCCCCTTCTCCACCTCCCCTTCCCCTCTTCCTCCTCCTCCCACCTTGACTTTAATTGTGTTTTTCTCTTATGTGGGAAAACTACTAGTTTCATATTAGTGTTGAGTAATTGGATACTTGCTTTTTCATTCTTGTGATACTTTAGTAAGTAGAATGTTCTCCAACTCTGTCCAGGTTAATACAAAAGATGTAAAGTCCCCATCTTCTTTAATGGCTGAATAGTAGTCCATGGTATAATATACTACAGTTTATTAATACATTCATATGTTAATGGGCACTTGGGTTGATTCCATATCTTGGTGATTGTGAATTGAACTGCAATAGACAGGCTCATGCAGGCTGGGTACAGTGGCTCATGCCTATAATCCTAGCACTCTGGGAACCAAGGTGGGTGGATTGCCTGAGCTCAGGAGTTTGAGACCAGCCTGAGCAAGAGCAAGATCTCCTCTCTACTAAAAATAGAAAAACTAGCCAGGCATTGTGGCAGGCGCCTGTAGCCCCAGCTACTTGGGAGGCTAAAATAAGATTTATTGAACCTACGAGTTTAGGGTTGCTGTGAGCTATAAAGCCACAGCACTCTACTCAGGGTGATGGAGTGAGATTCTGTCTCAAAAAAATAAAAAATTCTAGTGAACATATCCTTATGGTAAAATGATTCATTTTTCTTCCGGGTGGATATATAGTAATGGGATTTCAGGATTGTGTATCTGGATTTAAGTGGATCTCACACATCCAGGGGACAGCAGACAAAGATTGAGACTCAAGCATGGGGTATAGTCAGATAGAAAACTCCAAATAAAGTTGAACCCGTTTAGTGGGTGAATTAAGATAAGCTGCCCCATAGAGAGATATTGTGAAAATCCTTTCCTATTTTGGCTTTGGCTCTGGCTCTTAGTGGAATGAAAAAATGAAAGGTATAAGTTTGCCATGAGAATGCTAGAGCATAAGCCTTTGCTATGGTCTGCACATAGCAAAATAAATAAAATTAAATTGAAAAATAAAAAAGTCCAAGCCAGACATGTTAGGTTAAAGTAGGGGCAAATCAGCAGTGCCCCAGGCAATTGGCAGAAACAAACATATTGAGAACAAAAATAGATTTCCAAGAAAATTGAACTCACATTCAAAGATTACAAAAACACACAAGGGAACAAGGCACCATGAGAGAGAATAAGCAGAAACTTCTAGCTGGAGAAGCAAATTTACAGACTTTGGATACTAGAATGAAAAAAAACAGAATGAGTTTATTTAAAGAATTTAAGGAAGGGCTTGAACTCATGATTAATGAGTAAGAGGTGGCTCAGTGCCTGTGGCTCAAGTAGCTAAGGCGCCAGCCACATACACCTAAAGTGGCGAGTTCGAATCCAGCCCGGGCCTACCAAACAACAACGACAGCTACAACCAAAAAAAAAAAAAAATAGCTGGGTGTTGTGGTGGGTGCCTGTGGTCTCAGCTACTTGGGAGGCTGAGGCAGGAGACTCACTTGAGCCCAGGAGTTGGAGGTTGCTGTGAGCTGTGATGCCATAGCACTCTACCCAGGGGGACAGCTTGAGGCTCTGTCTCAAAAAAAAAAAAAATGAATAAGAGGCTATGAAAATTAACTAGTAAACTTTTAAAAGGAGGACTACACAGGACTGCTTAAAGAACAAATTACATACATCTGAAGAGAATTAGTGAAGATAAAACTGAAGAAATTACTCAGAATGCAGCCTAAAGGGTAAAAGATAAAAGAATTAGTGAGAAATGTATGTTCTTCTTTGGCATTCATTTCATATGTCTCATAATAATAACTAAAATATTCCTAGTAAGGATTACCTTCTCAGTGTCCTCTTACTGACCATTCTATTTAAAATTGCCACTCCTACTTCCATTCTCTCTTTCCTGTTTTAAGTTCTTTCTATAACATTTAGTACCATCTGAAAAACTTTCTGTGATTATTTATGTACCTTATTTATTGTTTATCACTCTCCAATTAAAAGTAAGCTTGGTGAAGGAAAATGTTTTTTAGTATTATGCTTATTCCTAAATCCCCAGTCTTGAAAAGTGTCTGATGTATAGTAAGCACTCAATAAATATTTGAAAAGAATGGGAGTAGCTGATACTTGCAGAGTATTTCTATGTGTCACACACTGCTGTGCTACCATGTCAGCTGTGAGGGCCATTCCAGAAAGAGTTCCAAAATATTACTATGTATATTTTCTGTTATAATTTAAGGTATTTGTAATGAAAAATTATACTTAAACCTAAAGATCACCCAATCAGCCCATATGGCAAGCTTTAGAAATGTACCCTAGCTTTTAACCTAGTAGTTAAGTATTTAGGAAATAATGAGAGAGATAAAAATCTACAAATTTAGAGCCTAAAAAAAGTTGTTAGAGAAATGAAGGAAAAATAGACAATTAATTTTAAGACTTTTTTTCAAGGTTTATGAAAAACCAATATTGATTCATCTGAACATTTAATTATTTCAATATTCCCTTTTGCAGTGGGTAAGAAAAAGCAGAATGGCAAACCATCCCTTCCTTGGCATTATGGTCCTTATAGTAAGAACGCTGTCAACAGCTGTTATCACAACAGGAAGCCAAGGTTGCCTTAAGCCAAGGAAACTGAAAACCAATTCTGGGAAGGCAAAGGATAGGTGGGTTGATAGTGCCTTTGTTCAATCTGCAGCCCCTGCAGTTAACAGAAAACCTTCACATTAGCTCTTGAAGTGAGAGAGAAAAGGAATGGAGAGCATTTGGTTGGTATTTCAGTTAGAAAATTTGGATACTAGAATGAAAAAGAGACAAGAGATTACGTTTTTCAAAAGGCCCAGTCCCATGAAGGAAATCTGCATTCTGCATGGCCAGATTTGAAGTAATATACCTGCCCACTCCAGCTAGTCATACTGGAGACAGGATCGGCAAGGTAAGTCTCCACAGAAAAGTTTATTCTGCCAACTAGGAAATTCAGCTCACCCTGATGTCTGATTATGTTGATAACGAATGTTTAGAGTTTTACAGTTAGGAAATGCTGTCCTAAGAAGCCTATCCATAGATTTATTAGTTTTTAGTATCCTGTTTCATTCAATTACCTAGATTAGATGGCTGTTCACACCTAAGATTTAAATTCACTTCATGTGATGCTAAATCCTATGTTTTCTCTATCACATCATAGTGCCATGTACTTAGGAACACAATGTAGAATTCTGAATCTCTTTTCTATAGAAAAGTGCTTTCCAAACCTGGCTGCTTAAATCTCCTGAGAAGTGAGATATTCTGACCCAGAGTGGTGTTTGTGAATTTGTATTTTTAAATGGCGCCTGGAAGATCTAACAGCCAGGTTTAGGGGCCACTATTTTGTTAAAGACCAATGCTGCAATTTTATCTGATATCAATTTTAGAGTTTCATTTATAGAGATGGAAATCAGTGTGTTTTATTTAGATCAATGGTTCCTAACCTAAAAACCCTTACCTTTTAAGAATCTATTGAAAACTATGGATCTTTCCTTAATAAACACACAGTGTGTGTGTTTAAAAAAACACACATACTAATTTACCATCTCTATTTTAACACATTGCTGCTATCACAAATTGTTACAAACATAGTGGCGTGAAACAACAAAACTTATTTTCTTATAGTACTGGAGCTCAGAAATTAGACATAGATCCAGAGCCGTGGCTCATGCCTGTAATCCTAGCATTCTGGTAGGCCAAGCTCAGGAGTGCGAGACCAGTGTGAGCAAGAATGAGCCCACATTTCAGGTGATGCTGATGTTGCTGGCCAGGAGACCATATTTAGGGAATCACCGGTGTAGGAGACCAGTGAATAGGATAGGGACGGGTGCTCTGCTTGCGTCCACGTGGCTATTAATGTTATTAACAACCACCACCACCACATTGGCGTTTATTGAGTACTTGTCTCTTACAGTTTATCTCACAGCTAGGTATAATCAAAGAGTCCCTCACCCGTTGCTTAGTTCTTGATCGTGTGTGAGACTGAGAGGGAGAGGGACACCAGCAGAGAGAATGAATAGAGCACGCAGCGGCGCAGGGCGGGTCAGGATCGCCTCCAGACCTGAGCACCCAAGGCGCAGCGGGGAGGTGGGGAGGCCCAAGGCGCCCTGGCAGGACCCGGGACTTACTCGCTGCCCGGGCGGTGCGCAGGGACTCGGGGCCCGCAGGGGGCGCTGCCGCGCCG